TTGGCAAGCTCAAAGAAAAACAGCATTTATATAATGCCCACATGCTGTTAAGTTACAATTCAGGTTTTTATGATTCCAGCAATCCCTCACTATAAGCTTAAGTATTTTGTAAGATAGAAATATACTTAAGTAAAATGTTTAAGAATTATTAAGATTCTAGAATATTAAGAATTTTTAAAGATGAAACAATGATTATAATTTAATGGGAATGTTTTCCATTTTAAAGATTTCTAAAGGTCAGAGTGAAACCTGAAATCACTGTACTCGTGCACCCTCTCACTTTTCCCCGCGGCTATTTTTCTTTGCTGGGATTGGAATGTTTGCTCTATCGATTGCCGTAGAGTGTTAGGAATTTGCCTGCCCCTAGCACCGTTCTGAAGCTTCTGTATCCGCTGGCCGGCGTGTCCATCTATCTGCACCTCGGAGTGCAAACAAAGAGCCAAAGCCAAAAGCACTCAGACAGCTGGTCAGACGGTTAGTCGACCATGCTTCACTGCCCTTTGGTTATATCTGTGAGCCTGGAAATACCTTCAAAGTTGGCCAGAGCAGGAGAATGGAATCGCAGTCAAGGAGGAGCATTTAAAGGAGTACAAACTGGCTGTTTGTCTGTTTGTCCTCTGTTTATGTGCGGTTTACATAATGAAATCAGAAACTTTTGTAATTTATGCCGTCTACCCAGTTTGTTCTACCATTTGCTAGCCCAATTATCAACTACCTTCCTTCGGGGCCCGTTGAACTTTTTGCCATATTTATGCAAATTCGCCATGTATACATGGCGATATTTCATGGCAAACTTTGGCGAGTACGACGAATTGAAATTGTTTTACCTTGGCCCCCTTGGAAACGGAACACAGGTGAAAGCTATCGAAAATTAAATTCAATTTGATTAATTAAGCGCGCCAAGTGAATCTCTACAGGGGAGGCACCGTTAAGGATCTTGGTATATCTTGTTAAGGTTAATAGCCAAACTTTGGGTATACGTAGTCTGTAACAATCGACTTTATCTGCCACCCCGATTGCTTCCTCTTCCCTTAGCCTGTTTTATGGAGGCCAGCCAAAGGGGCTGTGGGCTGTGAAACTTTAGCTCCAAGTTAATGCGTTTTATCAATTGATTTCCATCAAATAAAACACTTTCTTGTTGCGGAAAGTGAAGCAAATAAATTGGATTTCCCGGGGAATGGGATGGGCAGTGGTTCCATTGGCAAAGTTGCTTAGTTAGTGAGAATCTTCATTCTGGGCATAAATTAGTGGGTCGACTCATTTAGCTGTTGTCTATTTTATGTGGCCGCATGAGGGAGCAATCCAAGGAAATGCCTTTGGTATAAATGTAGCTTGAATTTGAGACCCATCCAGCTATGTCCCGCACTGTACTTCAGCCTTTAATTCGGTTAGCGGAAGTGCCTCGGGCATTCCAGCTTTTAATTTGGCCTTTGTTGCTGGCAGCTCGGCAATTTCTTTATGCTGCAACTCTTTTATCGCACTCACCTTCTGCCCCTCTCATTTAGGGGCGACTTTGTAGCGCCGCGCTACGAGTACTTCCGCTTAATTAAAACCCTGGTTCTTGTCCATTTAACCCCCTTTCCTCGAGAGCCAGGAAAACTCAAAGAAACTCTCACTTTAAGTTGCCGAATAAATAAAACTTCCTTTATTTGTAGCACACAAAACGTTTAACTTGAGGATCGTATATGGGAATAGTATATTCATGTGCCGTACGTATACTTATGGTAGGCAAGGGGTTCGTTTATTGCATTTAACATGTATTCGTATTCGAGACACAGAATAATCTCTCCGCGGGCCTAGGGAGTACAACATTAACAACACTTTACTATGTAGTTACGAATTTGTTTAGCACTGGGTAATGTTTTATTTGCGTTTAGCAACAATTTGGTTTCTGCTTAGAGGTAACAACCAGATATCAATATTCATGCGGAAGTTAAAAGGTACAACTCTCAAGTGCCAGCGATTCCTAGCTAGACTATACATATATATACACAACTCGTCGTCGCCATTTGGCCATCTTAGGTTAGAATGTAAGTCGAATGTACAATGGTTGGCTTACAGAGGCCGTTGCTCAAAGCAAGGCCAAGTCCTTTCTGCCCCCTTTCATGTCAAAGGATAGCAGGATTTCAGTTGCCGGTTCATCTTTCATGCTGCCGAGTTCTACACTGAGGGAAAAGTGGTTTTGAAAAATACATTTTGAACAAATTCTGTCTTTAAGTACAAAAATTGTAAAGTAATTAATTTAATTTGGTTCGAAAAAAGAAGCAGTCTTTAAACTAAATTATGTTGATTTTATTAAATTTAACTCGTTTAATATGATATTATTTTATCATTTGAATCAGTAATGCTTACAGAAAATATAAATAATAAATACTGTAATTTGAAACTATTTAGTTAAATCATTAGATCATAAGTTACTTGCGTGCAGAGAGATGAATCACCATCATAATAAGCAGTCTTTACTTCCAGAAGACTCATTTACATTTTCCCTCAGTGTAGCCACCTCAGCTGGCGAACTCTAGACCCTGGCATCGCTGTACTCGATGCGAACCACGCGTCTTGGCCGCTGCCCCACCGGCAAGGGAATCGCCCCCGATCCCGAACCCGTTCCGCGCAGCGCCAACAACTCCCGCGGCTACAACTGCGTCCGCTTGGGACCTCCACCTGATCCACCGCCGACCACTGAGCAGGTGGCGGATCCCTCGCTGGTGGCCTCCACATACGAGTAGCAGGCCGTCTCCATGACCAGCGGATGGCAAATCTCGTAGACGGGCACCTTCAGACTCGTCTTCCTCAACCCACCCAAGCTGCTCTGTGAGCTCGAGCTGGGCCCAAACGATCGTCACCTGGGATCGTTGCTTATCTCGGAGTGGTGCAGCTCACTCTCATCGCCGAAACTGTGGGCCGCCGCACTGGGCGTGATGCTGGGCGTTCGGGCACGGATGCGAATGGCGGACATGTCGGATCCTCGCCGCGAACTTTTCAGCGAGACGGACTGCCGCGAGCAGAAGCACCGGCAGATGATCCGCTTGAAGGCGAACCGGAAGTCCTTGGAGAACAGCGCGTAGATCATGGGATTGACCGCCGAATTGCAGTAGCCCAGCCAGAAGAGCACCGAGAAGAGCAGCGGATCGACGCAGTCCTGGCAGAATGGCCGGATGATGTACATGGTGAAGAAGGGGCACCAGCAGAAGATGAACATGCCGACTATGATGGCCAGCGTCTTGGCCGCCTTGGTCTCCATGCGGAAGCGCTTCACCTGCGCCTTGATGTTCCGCCTGCCCATCTTCTTGTTGGCCGGACGCGAGTGCCCGGAGGAGCCGCCAGCCTCGCTGGTGTTGCTCTGCCGCCTGGCCAAGTCGGGCAGACCCTTGCCCACCTGCAGGTAGCAGGAGCTGCTGCCTCCGAGATGCTGCTGCTGCTGCCGGTAGAGCTGTGACTCCGTGGACTCCCGCCCATTGGTGCCGTTGTAGTGGACGGCGAACAGGGCGTTGCCCGATGGCCGCCGCCCATCGTGACCTCCATGATCCGCGTGCCCGTGCCCGGCCAGCTCGCTGATGTTCTCGCTGGAGGGATACGAGACCGAGATCTTGATCTTGTCGTGGTGGTGGTGCATCCGCCGCGTGGCGTACTTCGATAGCCTCTCGGGCGACGGGGTGCCCAGGGTGGTGGTGGTGCTCTGGGTGCTGCCGTTGCTGTGCATCGAGTCCTGCTGGTTGGAGCCCCTTCCACGATGGATGCGCAGTGTGAGACGCTGCTCCTCGAAGCGCGAACCGATGCCCTTGGAACCTGGTCAAAGAGGGGGAAAGAAGGTATTATACACAGGTATTACATTTCGGCGGTGTTGTATATTGCTTGTTTCTTCCCTTTCTCTCTCTCTCTCTCTCTCTCTCTCTTTACCCCTGAATATCGCTCATACGCCCTGCTGCACGCACTCGGAATTCGTTGCCTACTTCACGGCTTTTGGCCTCCCTGGCCTGGAAAAGAGCCAGTATTCGACAGCTTGCCAGATTGCCAGCCTGCCTGCACTTTAGCAAATTAAACGCGTAATTATGCAAATGTTGCGCCATAAACGCGACAAGCACTCGACGTTGTCGTAGTCCTCGTTTCGGTGTTTTCCGCCCCCCTCCCCCCGCCACACAATCTCTTGCAAGAAGCGTAGTCCCCTTTAAGCCGCCTTCAAAGCGAACTTTATTTCATTAACACAACCATTTGCATAATCCTCGCCTTCTCGCTCGCTCAGCCTGCGCATATGTTGGCTGCCTTGGCTCGCTTTGCATTTATTACTCATACGCACGTTTAACTGCTGAATACATTTTCATTACTCGACCCGCGACGAGTAATGAATAATCGGCGCAATAATGCAATATTTTACTCGAGCCATTACTGGCACTGTTGCTTCGCTGCTTCTCGACTACTTCGGTCGCATTAAAAGCTGGCTTATTGTCCAAGAAACACTCGAGGACTTTAAGTCTGCCCAGCGTTTTATGGACACTCGGTTGGGCAGCAGATCATGTGACTCACAGGCAGACAACTTATATACGTGGGCGAAGTCCTATTCAATTGGATTGCCATTTAAGAGGGGTTCCGAAAATCTATAAGAGTTGTGAGCCTGAGTTTTATGTCATTCCTTGGAGTAATTATTAGGGTAACTGATAGGGATAGAAATTACTATTTCATTTTGATGTAATTTTAACCCAGAAAGTCGTAAAAAGGGTATTATCAATCCAGTTGGTTTAAGAAATAAGTAAAGTAAAGTAATTTTAAAACTAATTCTTCTAAAGTCTTTAATCAATACAGATTACTTTTCCCTATTAGAGAATTTTCCATTTTCTTCAGATAAAATAAAAAAATATCTTTTGTTAGCGATAGGGAGAGATTAAGACCTGATCAAGACCTAATCATATCCCGAAAAGTATACATATTAGAAGGGAATAAGATCGTCGGTTTAGATCATAACGTTTGTGATACTTGTTTAATGTCACGGAATGTTGACCTCCTGTCAATACCTGTTAGTTACCCGTTGGTATTTGCCAATTTCTGTTTTCTTCGTCGGCACTTGTTTTTATCTTTTGTCCTCACTTTGATTGGTTTTCATGTTTGCTTTGTTCGTTTTTTGTTTTTTTTTTGTTTTTTGCTGTTTTACTTTTATTGAAAATGCAGCCGACTTACACAGCTGCGATACACACATACATATACATTCAATATATATCTGGATTAACTAATGCGTGTGAGAGTTTTCCTCAGCGCCTAACACATGTACACAAACAACGTAACTGAAAACAAAGGGCTGCTTAACGTCTAACAGGTGTATCTCCTGGTGATCTGTATCCGTATCTGTATCTCATATGGTAGGTATAGTAGTACATATCTATATGGTTTAACATAGCCTTAGGTCTAGGTAAATACATGAAAATTATTGCCATACAGTTACAACGTCGTTCAATGCGAATACTGACAGTTTTCTTTCATTTTCTTTGAGAAGTGGGATGCGTCTGCTTCTGCGTCTGGCGGTGTGCTTACAAAAGTATCAAAAAAGCGAAATGCATTGTGTACACAGGGGCATCCCCCCATTTTAGAGGACGCGGCCCTTGCAGAATCCACCCCGCCGGATGCGCCGTTGCGAACCGGAAACGGAAGTCGAGCACTCCGCCTCCTGCGGCAGCGAGGAGCTCCGCTGCAGCGGACTCTGCTCGTAGCTGCCGATTAGTCAGCTAAAGTCCACCCCATCCCCGTCGTCCGAGCATCCGGAAATGGTCTTGTGGAATGTGGCCGGGGCCATCAGCGCTCGCGCGGCTATCATCTGGAAATTCTCCGAGGCGCGGAAGCCACTGCGCGTGCAAACGCATCGGCAGACGATCCGCTTGAAGGCGATGCGGAACTCGTTGGAGAACAGGGCATAGATCATCGGATTGATGGCCGAGTTGCAGTAGCCCAGCCAGAAGAGCACCGAGAAGACCGTCGGCTGGATGCAGTGGTCGCAGAAGGCGCGAATCAGATACATCGTGAAGAAGGGCAGCCAGCAGACGATGAAGCCGCCGACGATGATGGCCAGCGTCTTGGCCGCCTTGGTCTCCATGCGGAAGCGTTTCACCTGGAACTTGGCACTCCGCTTTCCGGCCCGCTTCTTGGCCGACAGCGAGGTGGTCGAGAGGCCCGTCTCCAGGTCTCCGTCGCCCGCCGAGGGAGCAGCTGCATCCAGATTGAAGGTGGTCTCGCCAATGTCAAAGAGGCTCGTCTTGAAGGAGGCACGTCGTCCGTTGGCGCTGCTGATTACCGCATAGTGGGGCGAGGGAGGCGGCGGCTGCTGCTGCTGATTACTCGAGACATCCAGGACATTCTCGGAGGAGGGAAAGGACACCTTGATGGCCACCTTCTCGTGCCGCTGGCGGCAGACGCGCATCGACGTGGCTCGCTTGGGGGTGCCGCCCTGAAGGTGATCCTCGCCAGAGGCCCCTGCTCCTCCACCTGCTCCACCACCTCCGCCTCCCCCATTGCTGTTCACGCTGAGGGTCGAGGACATCGAGTGCACCGAAAGGGGTGTGCGCTGCGGGGTGGAGCAGGGTCGTCCGCGGTGGATGCGCAATATCAGCTGGGACTCGTCCACCCGATTGTTGCCCGACTCGCGGGGACTGCCTGCAATTAGTGAGTGGGAGCAATTGGGCGGAGTTTGCTTCGCGGTTTGACCACCTCTCATGGATTAATTTCGGTGGATTGGTGGCTTTGTGGCTTGTGGTTTGTGGCTGGGTTACATGGATCGGATGTAAGACATTCAGCTTGTATTGTACATGGACATGTGTGGTTAAATGGTGATTGAGTTAGATACATTCGCATAAGTAGATGCAAGATACATTTCGCCTTGAGTAAGGTAAAAACTTTGCTGACTGACACTTCACAGAGAGCGGTTGACTAACTACGAACTGGTTACATTGAGATAGGTTTAATGGTGGAATAAACTTACGAGTAATTGTAATTGAGTATTGGAGTATGTTTAATAAAATGCTGCTCTACTTTTGTAAATACAAACATATTATTTATAGAGAGAGAAAAAAGGGGCTCATTCCATTATTAAAATCTAGTACAAGATAAACGTACAAATATTGGAGTTTGTCGAATGTTCTTTGTTTTTTTTTTCTTTTTTTGGTTGCGTTATTTTCGGTTTACTAAAACTAGGACCAGGCATTTTTTTGGACTCGGGGCTACAGGGGTTTTATGGATATTGATCACATCATTTATAACTTTAAAATATGTTCGGTAATTAATTGTTATAAACAAGTTTGTTAATTTATTTGGGTTTATTTGTTTTGGCTTTGTCTATCGGGTTTTTTCGCCCGCTGGGCATGGTTTTATTGGCCTAATTTTATTTATTATTCTTTGTGGGATAGGTCGAGGGATGGGCTGGAAGTGGAATTAAAATGCGAAATGTACTCCATGGAATTATAAGGGAGAATGGTCGGTTTAATGGGAGTACTCAAATAAATTGTCCCAATCGATTTTAGCCACCTTTCGCAGAAGTGGCTTAAGTAATTAACCGAAAGGGTCGAGCTCATTACTTATTGGTTACTCTGGCATAACAGACAGCTATCATTTCCGAATTGTGAACTGAATAAATATTGGCAACGACTCGGATGGGTATCCATGTTGAGCAAACACAGCATCATTTCAAGCTATCTTAATTTAAAGCGAGGCATGCCGCATTTTCATTTGCATAAACCATATTAAACCTATTGAGAACAAATATGGTTCGCCTATGAATAAACGAGAGTGGGCGAAAGGAAAATGTGTTCAAACAAGAAGCCCAACATATGCAGGATACAGTAAATAAAAAAGGATACACTATTGATTTTTTTCCACTTTTGGCCCTTCACCCCCCCGAAACGAAAATGAAAGTTAAACAAACAATTTGTATACAAATATATAACGAAAAAAATATCCTAATGTATGTACATATGCCAAGATATGAAGGCGCAATCCCGGCGAAAGCCTTATTCCTTTTCCCTCTGTCCAGAGCCTCGGGATGTTTCGCATCCTGCGGCGTTGCTTATTTAAATAAATGTTGGAATAACTTTTGTCTTCCACTAGGGATAATCCCTGCACATAAATGCACATGGAAATGCTTGGCCGGATTTCGCAATTTCCATTTGGCATTTTACATTCGCCGTTGTTTGCTGTCCATTAATTTGGCATTTACAGTTCACTCGCCACATTTTTGTGGGTGCTTTTTGTGGCCTTTAATTGAATGGCATTTAATAATAATAAAACCGTTTGGCATTCGCCTGAATGTCTGAATGTCGCGGGGTAATTAGCCAGAATTGATTTGTCCGCCGCCAGTTGTTAATGCTGGCGGACTTGCATGTGCGCTGTGTTTCTGTGTTGTCGCCAGCTTTTGACCTTTGAACGATGGCCTGGCCGGGACGTAGACAGGAGACAAGTGGCTGCAAGTCAAGGCCCAGGAGGACTCAACTCAAGACCGGCTGCCAGGGGCAGCTCGCACGAAAGTTGCTCGGATCCCTGCCTTCGCTATCCTTTCCTTTCCCTTCCGTTCTGCACTTGACACAGGGCCAGGGTCACACTTCTGAAATTTCTAAAGCCTAACAATAACAGTAGCCCCCGCCCCCTCGCCCTTCTACCCGGTGGTCGACGCCGTGAACCTCGACAAGTTTTGAACTTGAAACTTGATTACCTTCAAAAGCCACTGAAAAGGCGCGTGGGTTGGATGGTAGACCTATGTGGACCTCCAAAAAAATAATGAAGAACGGGCAAAAGCATCAGAACCACCCGCATTGTGTCACGGAGTGATTTCAGGCTTTTTTGCACGCACATTCAAGTGGCCCATGTACACGGCCAGTGCTCATAAAAATAATAATGGGCAAAATAATGGTGTGCCTCTGGTAAAAATATATATTTTCAAGACATTTTTAGAATTTTGAAAATTCTTAACTATTAATTAAAGTTTAGAAAATACTGAAGGCATTAAAAATTGTATATTTGCATTTATTCATTTTTTTAATATTACATTTTATTAAAATAAATAAATATTTGCGAGCAATATAGCAATAACAATTTTAAGTTTTTCGAGAATCCCATTTTTTAAAATCAAAATATATAACAAATTAATTAAATCCAAATATTTAAGTTAAAGAAATCCAAATACTAAAATAAAATATGAAATCATTTTTAATTTTTTAATTTTTAAGAAAAATCTTAAACCTTATAAAATCCACATGAAATTTAAAAAAAGAAATAGTTAAAAACTTTAAATTGAAGGCATTGATTCCTTTTCTTGGCTACTATTATTTTGAGTACCGCTGTGTTTTTGGAAAACTATAACGAGCTGGCCCGCGTGTGGGTGTGCTGGTAAACAGCAGACTGCCAGTGTGTGTGTGTGTGTGTGTGCGAGGAGACAAAGCATATTTCAAGGCTGCCACACGCTGATTCTCGCCTGTGTTGGTGAGGGAGTGGGTGGGTGGCTGGGTGGCCGTGTGAGCTGCTGGCAAATCTGAGCTTTGTGCTCAAAATGGCGCCAACTAACGACACTGCCACTGTCGGCAAAACAAAAACAACTGCTGGCCCCGAAAGGCACTTGCACTTGCCTTTGCACTTCCCTCTTCCGTTTTTCAAATAGACTTAACTCCAATATGGCGGCTGTCGGCGCCCCAAAGTATGCAATCACTTTTAAAATGCAATTTTCGTAGCATACATCCCAGAGGCAGCGAGATTTGTGGGGCTAATATATTAGCAGGAACATCGATTTCCCCTGGATTTCCCCACACGAATGGCCCTTCTATTGATTTTCCCGCCAAAGTCAGTCGGTCAGTCGGTTGGCTTAGTTACTGCAGATTATCACCATGAATGCGTGCGCCTGCCTTTAGCCATGGGATACATTATGTAAGATGGGACACATCCGAGATATCCGTGTGCCCAATGAGCTGATCACGCGGAAGAAAGTGCGCTGTGGCCATGGCCGAGTAATGTGGAACATATTAAAATAAACACTCGATGCCAGTTTAATGTGGGCTCCGCAGACTTCAAAAGGAATCGGGAACCCGGGGATTATCGCCAGCACCACAGCACGGGGCCTCTGGAGGTCTCGGTCTCCAGTGAGGCCTAAAATGACAAAACCTAAGAAAATATAAATTTGCACAGGCAGCAAACAGAAAACCGAACAGGGAAGTCATATTCCTTATTTTTTTGTCTTAGCCCATGGGTCGCTTTCATGTCTGCCATTTTCTGGCTGCCTCTAATGGGCGAGCTTCAGCTCTCATTTAATCCCGACCTCCTTTTTATCTAAGCCGATTTGTTTGATGTGCTTCCTCAGCGTTCATCGATTTTTTGCCTTTGCCCATCACGGAATATAATGCTAATTATGATGCGTGACTTCTCCTTTGAGCATGTGATTGATATAATGCTGTGATAATTTAAAGTGAACAGGATTTGGATTTCGGGTCTTAGGGGATGATTGAAATCTTTAAGGAAGATTTGTATTTCCGAAATTGGAAATCAAATTGGGGAAGATTGGGGTTCATAGCAGGTTGTTCACAATTTTAATTTGGGGCGTTTTTGTTTATCTCACGCCTCTATATGTTCACTTAGATGGGTACACTAGGCTAATTAATATTTATGAGTTAGGACCTAGCGGTGCTAATTTATAATGACATTTATTTAAATAACGTTAAGGGGATTTAAATTACAGGGACTTTAATTTAATCCGTATTTTACAGAGTTTCGTTTTTTTATAGGGATGTTATTTTCTGCTCGCTTTTATAGAAATCAGAGCTCTATTTGCAGAGGGTTAACTTTGTAATGCTTGGGCTTTCACTAAGTGTATATGCATATGTGTATGTATATTTATAGAATTACTCATTTCCAGGTTATTTATCATGTATATTTATGTGCAAAACACAAAAACAAAATGCCGACAATAATTGTATGTGTGTGTGTGTTTGTGAATGTGTGCGAGTAGTTATTTATGAATGTAAATTTAGTTGTCTATTTTTTTGTTTTTTCCGCCGTCGTCGATTTATACAGTTCCTCATGTTTGCTGAGCACCAAGTTGTGTTGTTATTTACTTCTGCGACAATTTATGCTTTTCAGGGGACGAGGACAAGGTCGAGTAGTGGGTGGTGGGTGGAATGCTCTGTGTGAGTCTGTACACTTTTCGGTAAAGGTAAAGGTAAATCGTAAATCGGCAAGGTAACCAAACTTAAAAACGGGACAAACGGGACGTCACACTAATGACTACACGTCGAGAGATTGGAAACTGTTTAGCAATCGATATTAAAGCTGAATAAAATGAACTAGCTACGTGATTACGTTACTTATTTGGTAAATCGAACAAATATATGTATACAAAGAGAGAGAGATGAGGAGTATCAAAACCAAACTGTTAGCTACGCACACGTTAGGACAAATTGTGACAAGGTGACAAGGATCAAACAAATCGTGTCCAAATGAGCTTGAATGGTAGTGGTGGTTTTTCTTTGGTCAGTTGGTTAGCTACTACGGATGTGACTTACCCTTGGTGGTCTTGAAGCCCTGATTGATGGCCCTGGTGGTTCTCACGGCCGCCCGATAGATGCGCCAGTAGAAGAAGAGCATCACGAACATGGGTATGTAGAAGGATCCTAAAGCGGAGTACAGGACATACCCGCGATCGTTGGTCAGCTCGCATTTCCAGGGGCAGCTGCCGGAAGTGGTCACGAGTCTGTTCTGCGGCGGTGCGTTCAGCAGATCGAGATCCATTTCCGCTTCCGTACTGCTCGACATCGAACTCGAAGTCGTCGTCGTAGTACTTGTTGTACTGGTCGAACCCATGGCCGCCAACCGAATCTCCGCGGATCCATCGATGGGGGCGAAATCGGGATCGTAGGGATTGTAGGCGTTGCCATTGCCCACATGCGGCGGCGGTGCCGACACTTCGTCCTGTTCCTTAATGCTATCTAAGCCTAGTTGACCAGCCTCCGAGCTTGACATCGTGGTGGTGTAGTAAAGCGTATGGTTTCCCTTTGGATAGGTCGGCTGTATGACCGCCTGGAATGGCAGAGAAGGGAGATATGAGAAATATGGGATCACGGGATGACACTTGATATTCCTGAGGACCCCATTAAAATTCCACCCTCGTCCTGCGCGCACCCTCTTCACGGCGCGCTAAGAAGCCAATAAAAATGCAACTTAAAGCGGGTTATATTGCCAGAGATATTCGCCGACGTGTTGCGCATAAATATTACTCTCGTGCCAAAAGGTGGCGTTAACAAAGAGCCAACAAGAACATCCCGGCCAAATAAATGCCGCTGGCTGGATGTATGTGAGAACATGTTATCGCCATGTGGCCCATGAGCCGAGCCTGCTGTGCTCTGCTTTGCTTGAAATTGAATCGAGCGGAGGGGGGCGAAATAATAATAATCGATGCCAACAGCCTCGACTCGCTAACCGGGTTGCGATATGCGATTCAGCAGGCTGAATGCCCGATGCCATCCATTCAAACGTGGCCCATTCAACTGCACTCAGCCGCTGCAGTTCTGAATCGAATTGAATCGAATTAAATTGAGTCGAGTGGAATGCGAATGAGTGTCCTTCGAAGGATACATTCTCGTGTGCAGCTACGATGAAGCCATCATATCATCGCCACCTTGAGGCAGTGCAAACCGAGATAGCCAAAAGGCAGGGCCAAAGGACCAGAGATCTGATTACCCACTGACTGGGGTGGCCATAAATTGTACTCTTCTTGTTGGCAACGTTGTTGCGGCATGTGTAACACATCATTATCAGTGCCATTGCGTAAGAATAATGGCAAAAGGGGAGCTAAATTAGAAAAGGAACCAACATCGCCCCTCCGCCTGAGAAAGGACCAAACTCGTGTCTTGTTTTACGGTAATTTTGGCACAAATGAGCCGGATTGCAGTCTCTGGCACGAGCCATTGTCGTTGTGGTTGAGCAACCACTGCTGGCAACCCCAAAATGGTGTCAATGACAGAATGGCCCTCAGTTTTCGGGGGCCCCGAAAAAGCAACTTTCGCCCGTCGCCTGTCGCCTGGCTTTTTGTGTTCTTTACGAGGCTTGAGCGTGCTAAAAACAGTTTACCGACTTTCAATTTTGTCGGCCTTCTTTCGGCTTCAGCCCTTTTGTGGCAGAGACAAACCGCGCTTCCCCTTGTTAATTTATCGCATCGGGTCACTTGCGGGTCAGTTGCTGGCCCAAACTCACCTTTTGATCCTTCCAGCCGACTAGCGGCGGAAAGCAAATAAAAAATGATAGTACCCAAATGCCGGCGATTAGGGACTTGGCCTTCTTCGTGGACATTATGCTGGGGTAGGTGACGGGTCGCGTGACCGCCACATAGCGATCCAGAGATATGGCACACAGGTTTAGGATCGATGCCGTGCACATCCAGACGTCGACGGCCAGCCAAATGCGGCACCACAGATCGCCGAATATCCAAACCTAGTGGATAAAAAATAATGATAAAATAAATAATATTAAAGATGTTTTGGAAAATATGTTTAATAAGTAAGCTCAGTAAAGATCTTATGCTCAGAAAAGAACTTAAGTGTATTACAATGAAATTACAGAATATGAAAAAAGTTAATAAACCTTAAAAAATACTTTTTTTGGTATTTGATTTATTATTCTTTTATTTTTTAGTTTAAATAAAAGGTATTTTCAGAGGGAAATATATTCTTAAAATCAATATTATCGCCAAATTATTGCCAAAAGTTAGGACTCACCTTGAAGACCTCCCAGGTGGCCGAGAAGGGTAGCACCGCCAGACCCACCAGAAGGTCGGCAACGGCCAGGTTGACAATGAAGAAGTTCGTCACGCTGCGCAACTTATTCGAACAGAAGACGGCGGCAATCACAAGGCAGTTGCCACCGATGACCAGAACGTTGATAAACTCGAGTACGGCCAGGGAGATCAGATTGGCTGGTTCCGTCCATTTCACAGATTTGATGAGATCCTCGCACTCTGTCTCATTCATGGCGGTACTTTTGAGATGGGTGTGTATCTGTGTTCGCCACCTGCAACGGACAGAGGGAGAGCCATTTGACTTTCAACAATACTAATTCGCCTAAATGCTGCCACAACCTGTGGCCTCGCATGCCTAATTAATTTATAAAAGGCTGGTCTATAAATAGACTAAAAATGAATTAAGTGGTCGTTAAACAGGAAGGGCCAAAAGAAATATATAAATGTGCGTGGGTTAGACATGACCAAAAGGGCATTACTCTATTTTGGGAACAATGCAAAATGTGAAGGCAGCCCCATTTACAAATTGGCTAATATTTATTGAAAATATTAGATTTAATTCTATAATTGAGTCTACAAATGGGAAAAAATTACTAATTATTTATAAATATTTTAAAAGATTACGGTTTCTTTTTTCCCAGATATGCCCTTTAATGAGTACCACAAGTAAAAAAGCTCGTTACAAAGAGAAATCGCCTTAAAGCAAAAACATAAAACAAAGTAGGTAGGGGAATGTTGTGCTTCAGAGACCGAAAAACAAAAGAGGATATACCATAACGCCGTTGGCGTATTTGCTTAATTGCTTTGTAAGACAGCATAAGCGCAACCTTCAAGTCTTATCCGATGCTGACCTGCGCCAATAATGGAAAATTAAATACTTGCGGATACATAATACCGCCATTATAAAGTGCGTCGCGAGCAGGGGGAATTTCTGAATGGAATGGAAACGAAGCCATACACATATCTTGCTCACTTGGTATTCAGCTGCAGTTGCACATTGCAATTTAATTGCCGTAATTAATTGCGGTCGTTTATTTTGTGCGCGCCTGTGGATGGGGATGTGTGTCTCGGGTAAAATCTATCAATGAATTGGCATGCGAATCGACACTGACAGCACATTTTCATTATCGAGGGACTGAATGAAGAGATGTTCATTCAAATAGCTGACATCGCCGGACATAATAACCGATAAACTACAAAATCAGCTAAACAAGCAATCAACTGCCATAAAGCGAGCTCATTGCCGCTCATTCAATATTCGCGCACGATTTGGTTGCTAATCAATATTTGAAATTATTTTTGACTTTAATGGCTCGGCCGACTGCCGGGCACGCACCCCAAAAATATTCGGGGGAAAGAGCCACCGAAATACAAATCCCTCAGGTCGATTTTCGGGGTAATTGCCGGGTATGAAATATTCACAGCACGCAACAAATCGATTAAAATACACATTCACTCTAAGACTAATCCACTGCCGCAAATTGTGTGAACTTTTGGCAAGTAGCCCCCACGGGCCAAAGAACACCTGTTTTGGTCAGTTTAATGTTTGGAAAGGTGCTTTCAATAATGCAGCTTGGATCCCATGAGCCCATAACAAATGTCCAGTTGCCAATCAACCAAACCCAGCAATATGAAAACGACAGTGTACACTGTACACTGTACAGTGTAGCCCCATATCGATTTGTAAATTACACTCGGCGAATCATTGATTACGGGTTAAGTTCAAGGTAGCACTTTGTGTTACGAGTGCAACCTTTGTGGACCGACGACCGAGGGGTTAATCAAAGTATGCCCAACATTTGGCAGTGGCTCTGGGATATTTCGAAATAATGCCAATCCGGGCAAGAAGTGCGTGTACGAGGCTCGCATAAATTACTCGCATGACAAACAAAATGCAAAGGCCAAAGAGGAGTTCGGCGAAAATTGTTGCCAGTTGTAAAGTTTAAAAGCATTTTCGCCCGGGGCCGTGGCAGGAAAGCCTTCCTCAAACTGAAGCTGAAACTGAAACTCGAAGGCGGTCGATGGCATTTTCTTGGCGCACAAAATTTGCATGCCGAAATTTGCTTTGTGGCAGCTAATAAGGAGAAATGCCCAAATTGAGTTGCACGCTGAAATTCGCCAACATTAAATTGCCGAGCGTAATAAATAATTGGCATTTAAACCGAGTTGTAAAAGCTTTTTCCACCCACGCGACCCACGTGGCGTATACGCATTCCCTTTTGGCTAATACCCTTGGAAAATGAGTTGATGTGAAAATTGAATAACAAACAGCAGCATGTTGGTAATTGAAACTTTTCACAAGATTGTTGTATTAACGCAAAGAATGTATTTGGCATTTAAAAAATATTATAAATTATATAAACAAATATTATAAATTATAAACAAAAAGAGTATTATAAGTTTAAGCTAGCCGATGCAACACGGCCTTTTTTGTTCCATTACGCATACGCCTAGTTGACGATGACATAAAGAGCAAAATTTGAAAAGAGTACAAGCTCAGGGGTGGCGCTTTGAAGCAAATTAAATTTAATTACCGCAGCATTAAAAAGTTAGCGGAGTTCCTTAGACGAAATTAAAATGTCAAAAGGCGTAAAAAAGTTTTAAATACATTTTCTGTGAGTCATGTATATATATTTATGGAGATACAAATTACTGTTACACATTCATTTTCTACTAATGACTCAATTTAAAACTCTCAGTAATATTTAACCTGCATATTATTTACAGGGTTTTCTTTACCTTTTCTGATTTATTTAAATCCTTCAGCAATTATTTTTGTAGGACATGAATAACAAACCCTATGGCAATGCAACACATAAAAAATATTTACATATTTTATTAAATTTCAAACCCTTAATGAAATATAATGGTTTTTCTCTATTTTTCCTCGCTTCAATGGTAGCAGTTCATTTCTCAACAAACACTTTTTAATGCATATTTACTGAAAAACAATAGAGACAGTTTAGCTGACAGATCTTGTGCATACAAATTAAGCATGAAATTCCATTATCGCAAAATAAATATTAAATTACGGTCACAATGACCCAGAAGGAAGGTGAAGTTTTGTAAAACCACTGCACTTTCTCCCCTCATAAGGGGTGAGAACCTGGATTCAATTTGTGTGGCGCAGCCAGAGAGGAAATTAAAAGTACGAGCAACGAAAATAAAACCACTGCAGAAATTGCAGCAAATCAGATTTCTGAAAAGTTGGCAGGGAAATAAATTGTGGATGCCAGGGGCATTGCAACAAGTTGATTAAGATAAGGCCAAGGGGCAATCCCAGAATCGGATTTCATTAACCATTATATATAGTTATCTTCGGATTTTTTTGAGTAATTTGCAGATTCTAAATTGAATTTAATTTTGTAATTAGCTTGTTTGAAATTACCTTTCGCATGAAATGAATATTTCAACAAGTGCATCAGCATGATAAACCCCTCCTAAAAAACCAAAACTGGGACTAACAATGCCGCAACATTTGTGGCGTAAAATCAAGTTGCCACCAATTAGCCGGACGCGTAGCTTCGGCCGCTAAATGAGTTGAATTAAAACGCGAAATTCGCAACAATTTCCAGTGGCCACATAGCCGGAAACCGAACCATTACACACAGCCGCAAAGGCTTTCAGCCCCACGCAGATAAAACAATTTTGCGGCTTGCTGATTTCTGCCAACTGCAATTGCCCGACGACAGTACCCGCAAAAAACTTTTAATTTAATTCAGATAATTGCGCGCAAATGGCGCCCAAAACATGGGGGATGAGATTCCCCCCACTTTTAGATCAAATAAAGCCAGCCAGGCCTGAACTTTAACATTCGAAACTATCCCGGGGGCGGCGAAATTCACTTTAGGCCCTGCAAATCCCTTAGAGTGCGAATACAACTACGTAATTGAAAATTAAATGCAAATGACAGGCCAAAGCCTCTCGATGTGTTCGCTGGATTTGTCCAGATTCCCGAGATTTGTGAACTGCTCCAGTGATATCTGAAGAGGTCTTGTCAAGGGAGTTTCCCTGCTCTCTCGGCTGAAAAGCTGATTTATTATGAAAATTACTTCAAGTAATTAAAATTTAATTAATGGCTCGCCCTCCTGATAATGTTAAGTAGTTGGGTCATTAGCAGATCTCCTACTTTTTCACTCCTCTTGCCATTTTACGAGGCCGCGAAACGTGTGGGTACGCAGCTTTACGGCTGCCATCTGCTGGAGACACATAAAAGTGTGCCCCATCTAGGGGATATATATTCATTGGATTTATTGCCGCTCATTTGGCCAACGGTAACGGTAGCTGCAGCAGCAGCAGCAGCTAGGCAAACAGACAACTACAAGATAATCAATGTCGGGCGCACACACATCATCGTGTCAGAGTTGATTGCAACATTCACGTGGACATGGGTGTGGCGGAGGAGGGGGAAGGACAAATTCACCATAGCCGTCGGCGAAATGTGCAGCTGACAGCTGCTGTGCAACTGCAGCAGCAACAACACACACCCATGGCCACACAACTAGGACGTGCCTACGACTGTCAACTGTGTTCGCTTCCAGGGCACATACTCCTACTAGCTTCCCTAACTCCCTGATGAGGAGAACGTTGGGGGCGTGGCAGGACGTGCGTGCCACTTTGCCACAAAGGCAACGGAGCAACGGGGCAACGGAAATAATAACAGGAAATGTTGCCAACTAAATTTTTAACGCACAGCACAAGTTCTAGCAGCAGCTTGACTAATTGTGCGCGACATGCTTTCCATTCCTCACAAGTCCTTTGGGTAAATAGAGTCGCAAGCAAATTGTTTGATTGATTGCTGTTTGTGTAAGTTGTCAGAGAAATCAAGATACACGAAGGAAAGCGAGTCCTGACCTAGAAAGTAGAACCTTCTAAAAATAGCAAAGTGACTTTAGTCAAAGCTTTTGAATTGACTATCGTAAAAGTAATGTACTACATATGAATAATTATGCCTTTAAAACCTTTCAGAAAAATTAGTGCGAGATCCTTAAGAAAATTATATACTAAGTTGTTTAAATTTCATAAATTAATTTAAGCACTTTACTCTTTGGTTAGAAGTTGACAAACCATTTCAAAAATCAATATCAATTCCATAATCTTAGGACTTTAAATATTTTCTTCTTTAAGGTAACATAAACCCATTTAGGGAGGCCCCAGGGCTACCCTCGTTTAAAAACAGCTACCTTGAACCTTAAAAATAGACACCCTCTGATTTAGTCCCCTCTGGGTATTTAGTGTACTCACCAATATCAGCAGTTTGTTGGGTAGTTGTAACCATGAATTACAGCTCGCTCGGTGCTGTTGCTTTATGGCCATGTTGTTGATGTGGCTGCCGTTGTTGAAGCTGCGGTTGTGCCTGGCAACCGGTGGCCAAAGCGGCTGCTGATGCCCCTGCCAATAGTGCTTTCGATGGTGAGTCCGATACCAAGAGCGATACCGATGCCGATGCCGTCGCTCCAGTTGATTCCTGTGCGTCTCGTGGCCCTCGGCACCCGCAGGCTGTCTCCATCCAGAACCACTCCGTTCCGGGGGGTCAGTAAGTCAGTGTGTCAGTGAGTCAATGTGCCAATATGTGGCTCTAATAGTCGAATAGCAGAGGAGTGCGATATCGCTGTTTACACTATTGTTGGCACGACCCGCGGTTTACATATCAAACAAGTGTGCAGCAAACACTCTGATGTCAATTATTTGCGGGTCCTGCTGAATATTCCACATGGACCGCCAGAAATAGCTGCAATAAAAAGGGAATAGAAACATTTTTTTATAAATCACACGGCGTATACGCAATTTATATCGTTCAACAAGTTAACACCATCACGAGAGTGTTGGCAGCTTGTCAGTTCGTTAGTGTGAGCTTAGGAAGTTATCAAAAGCAATTTCCAACTACTGGCAATTTTTCTATGTACTATACTAGATTTTCCAGAATGTCACGTTGCCAGAGTTTAAATCACCAGATAGTTCAAATCGTTTGTGGGCGGGGGTGTTTTCGGATTTTGTTAAATCCAATCGGTTTTCTCGGGCATAAGGCAGAGACTGACAAAAGCTATCAGAATTTACTAATTGCCTGACAGGAAACTTTTGCAAGTGACTGTGCAGAAGCCGTGAAACTTTTCAGGCCCTGCATTCCACTGAAAAGTTATGTGCAAAATAAATAAACAAGTAAGTTGTTCGAGCGATACTGGCAAGTAACTCAATTTTGATTGAGTGAGCCTTTGTAAATTCTGCCTTCTGCCTTCGGCCTGCTGACTGCAGTTTCAACTTTGGTAATTCTTAAAGCATTTCTCGTCCTGATTAATTTGCCCATTTCGCCAGAATTTTCTTCCACTTGCATACCCTGAATTTATTCCATTTTCTCCCATTTCACACGCCGTCAGCTTGACAGGGGAATTCCGAATCCAGATGGCCTTCTCTTCGGAGCTCCGAAAATTAAATGTCAAACTGCGTTGCCGCAACTGTGAAAAGATGAGAAATTGCATTTTCACAGGTAATTTGCATTTGCTGCCATCTTTTACTTTCGATTTTACATTTCGATGCCAAATGCTCCGCCGCCCACGAGCGAAATTGGAGCGGCAGAATAACAAGAACAGGGATAAAATCGATAGGTAATCAATGTTTAATAACTTGAGCGTGTCCCTTGACCATGGAGTCTCAGCCAAACTGAGCCCAACTGGAACCGAATTGAACCGGCGCGGCTGTCAACACTGTAAACATTGAATAAGTCATGGGTGCGACCGAGTGGGAAAGTTTCTGGCGCCTTTGCGCATATTTAATGGGAGTATTTTAATAAGACCACGTCTCCCCGAAAATATCCCCAAATCATTCTGGTCAAACAGTTATATATTCGTATTATTGAGCCGAATGCGTCATTTAAATTTTCGGCGCGTTTTGGCCAACAAGGTCAAATCATTGTCAGGGCCTGGCCTTCGCCAGAAGTCCGCTAATAACCATAATTTGTATTTAATGACATTCAGCATTCGCTTCCTTGGGCCTGGCCAATTTCTATTCATTTGCCCACGGGGCACACCCAAGACCATCCGGAGTGGACACCTATTAATAAATATATTTATATTTGCCTTATGGCCCAACGGCACGAGGACATTGATTCATTTTAAAGCAACTCCTCCTGGCCAAAAGCCATGAGATTAAATGGCGAAAATATGTATATGCTAATTTAACAGGCTCTTTGTGCGCCATTATGGCATTATGCACTGCCTGAAACGCTGATCTCATTTATGCTCGTGCTCGCTAAATTAAATCAACTCACCGGCTTTCAGCTGGAAATGTGCACCAAGCCACGTCATGTGCAGGCCCTTTTATCCCTAGCCCGAAAACGACAAGTGACTTCCGACGAATTAGGGGGCAAAACTGTGCGCTGCATGCGCTATTCACTGGCCTGGTAAACTAATTAGTGGCCTGCCGAATGCATAAAAAATATAAAAGTGGGTGGCTTCCAAGCAAACAGTCACGAATGGGCTAAGTATAAATAAAGAGGATTCCCGGAAACCAAGGTGGAATCTCATTAACTTGCGCAAACACAGAGCAATCCAAGGGGCTAAGTAATATGAATTGCAGAGCAAAGAACTTCTGGCAACCCCAAATAAATCACACAAAGACTCATTAAATATGAATTTAATACGTTCAGACCTCTGCGTATTAGCATAGTAATAAAGGCTTCAAGTGGTTCCGATTGTTCAGCTCGATAATGATGCCCTAGATGGTCGTAAAAAGAAGCATATAACCAGGAACAACATCTAGATCTACATCTGCATACGTCATCGACCAAGTGACCAAGTGCGCTGTGTTGCCAAGTGCGACAGGGCGAAATCACTCGACTGCAAAGAGATTGAGATTCAGGGCCACTTAAGTGTCATTACATTTGCCTTCGCCTCGCGTTTCCTTTTTGTCCGCATTCATTTGTGAACGTGTTTGTTTGTTTGCCTGCTTGTTTTTCCCCATTGTAGCCATTCATTGTGCACTCTGCTAAGGTAAAAGTGGGTAAAACAACTGTAAGCATCTGGGCAGGGAGCCACCGACTTGTTTACTTTATGCAAAGTTTGTGTTTGCCCAATAGGATTATTGTTAATACAGCGAATGTATTTATACGCACTTATTTTTGGCCTGCCGAAATAATGAATTTATTGGGCGGAGGTTAACTCAGGATAGACAACTTTGATTTGAGCAACCAGTCCTTAAAGAATATTTAACGGTTGGAAAGTGTAAACAACTTTTTTAAATTTAATTTAGAAAATGTTTATAATTTTAAAATACATAATGTAAGTAAATTATTATAGTTAAATATTTTAAATGTCCAATTCTTCACTGGGATAATTATTTATAAATATTTTAAATTTTATTTATATATATTATTACAAACATTATTATTACAAACATTTGCAATGCATTATTCAGAAACTACTTTCGAATTTAAATAAGCAAGAGTTTAAGTCCAAATTACATCAGCTTCCACTGGATAAACGTTTTGTGGAAAGCATTTCAAACATTTAAGTAGCTAGGAATTACTTTAAAATGGCGCACATTTGTGTGTAAGTAGTTAATGGCTTTCATGCTCATTGCCGTCCTAAATGTACACAAATCCACCCGCATGTGCAGCTCGTCTAACAAAAGGTTTTATGTGCCATGCACAACGAAATATAAAAATTCACGCTAAGCCAAACCCTTCTTTCCCTGCTTCTATTCCATCTGCAGACACAATCCCCATCCCCCAAGCCTTCTATTCCCATCTCCATCCCCAAACACACATGTCAGGCGTTGTCTTGTCTTTGCCTTTACATACAAAATTGACTGTGAAAACGCTTTGGGCACTTTGGTCCTCTGTTTGCACACACACTCTCTGGAATCGTCCTACCATATAGCTATGTAGTATAGTGCAGACTATATGGTATATACACAACTTTTCCTTTTATGCCTGCGTCTATGTCTATGTGTCCATGTGGCATTATGTTCGTCGGTCGTTTCTAAACATTTGTATTTTCGTTTCGCGCTGCTTTGCTTTTTATGTGCGAAATAATTTGTGTTTGGATTTTATGCTGTCATAAAAGAATTTCCCTGGCAAAGCCTGAAACTGAGCTCGTTGCAGTAAAAAACGGTTGAAAAAGTTGCATGAATGGGCTTGGGTTTGGAAGCCCGAAGATTTTCACATTTCGCCACGCTTGATCAATTAACTAATGAATGTCACTATGTGCTGAATGCATGAACAGCTGCAGGAGTCTATTGATTGGATTTGCTATTGGTATTGGCATTGACTTTTGTCAACACGCACGTAGAGGCAAACAAAAGTCAAATGTTGCCCCGGAGGCAAGTTGCAAATTAGATTAATTACATAGTCACACACCCAGGAAACCAATTTGGTTTTCAATTCATTCGATTTGACGTGGGGGGTTAAAGTTCAGGGCTGAGTAATCGAGCATCGAACAAGCGTCTGGATTGTAAAGACTATTTCATCTGGCAGTGACATCGAACAGATAGCTGGCTGCCAAACTATGAGTTGTTGCCAATTCGGGCTGCCAATCAAGATGACAAAACAATTGAAATCAAATCCATAAATTGCTTTTACCGAGCACACAAAAATACATTTTATTTTTGCATACGATGCAATCGCAAATATCGCAATCGACTTTATCTACAAAACTGCTCGGGCGTTGAATTCGGAATCGGAATCCCAAACATGGCTCGTGTCTGGGGCACTTTGCACGATTCTCGAATGGCAGTTGGACCGACTGACTGGCTGGCTGGGTCGTGGAGGTGTGCAATTAATTCAAAAGTGTCTGGCGAAGAAAGTTGCAGTCATTAATTAGCATTTCCAAGCATACATACATATATACCCATAGACACTCGCTAGTGAAAGTTCTTTGCGGGTCCTCAGTTCATTTGGCACGTTTCGACTAAAGAATACTTAAAAAAAAAAACGGAAAAGAGCCCAAGGACCTGGGAGTAAAGCTCATTTCCGCTTTATATTTAAACACTTGGGGGCTAAAATGTTTGCTCTACTATTTCCACGCAGTGCAAAATCATCATAAAAGGCAGGGAATGAAAAAATAAATAGCCCAGGCCCCAGAGAGTGGCCTCTCCGGTCGATGGACCATGGAACTCGGAGGTGGGAAACGCTTAGCAAGTGGATTTTTAAATTAGTTTGTCGACTCGACAACGATGGCGACGGCAAAGAAGACTCATCGCCTCCCCTCTTAGCCTTCATTTTGCGCAGATAAAAGCCAAGTTTTGAGACTCTTTGCAACGTCCTTTTTGGGCGAATGGACTTGGCCGACTCCTTCTTGCTTATTTAAATGAATTAGGTGATTTTTCAAGAGCTAAGCCCGCCACGAGCAGTGAACTCATTTCCGTTCCAGTTGCTCTTGGCCATTGGCCCTTCATGCTTCATTTGGCCCCCACACTTTGTGGCTGCATCGCGATGAGCTGTTAATTTGCAGGCCACTGCGTGTCAATCAAAACTTTTACGAGATCTGGCCCTGGGAAAATTTGATTGCCTTCCACCTTCTAAGCATCAAAACACAATCATCTTGGGGCGCCAAGAAGCCAAATGAAATGAGTGGAAAAGAAAAGCCAAACACTGGGGGCTTTGAGTCATAAAAAGTGCTCGCTGAGTGTTAAATACATTAAGCAGATACTTTCCCATACCAAGGAGCTCACTGCTTTTTTTCGGCAGATTCCCGGCCCACACGCCGCATACGCAATATCGTGTGTTTGCCATTGTTTTCTTGTCGCTCCTGTCTGTTCGTACATGAGTCGAATTGCGCATACGACGCGTATGCCAAGCACCGGGACGCGAGGTGAGAAAAATTTGCAATAAAGCTGCAAAGTGGCACGAAAAGGGGGGCACACAAAAAAGACCGCGTTGAGGATTGAAAGTGAAAGGGTTCCTCCTGCTCATTCGCCCCGTTTTATTGCCGGGTTATTGTTATTTAATGCCAAGTTTAATGCCAACACACACAGCGCGCCAGCGAACACCTAAAACAATTTCATGCCCGCCCCATTAATATATTTCAACTGGTTTGGTTTGGTTTGTTTTGTTTTATTTCCAAGTACGTGTGGGCTTTCCCCCCTTTCCTCAGTTCCCCTCGTCTTTTTTTTTATTGTAAAGTTTCACCCTCGGGCCGAGTGGCAAGTCATTTGCTCCGCTGGTTGCACAATTCTATGTTGACGCTCTTTTGTGTTCGACTGGGCTAAAGAATCTCAGGTTTCGGTGGCTTATGCACGTAGGTTGCCATTGTCGTTTCAACTGGACAAGGAAGCAATTTGAATGCCTTCACAGAGCGCTGCACATAACACAGAATTATGTTAGGGCCAGCTTTGTTACCACTCGGAGTTCGCCTTCCCGGCTCCCAGTTCCCATTTGCCAGTGCCTGGCCAGGCGTAAAGATTGCCAAAGTTAGCTATAGGGACATTGGTGAAAACGTGATTTCGGCCCAAAGAAAAAATAAAAAATGTTTGTTCCTAAACTAAAATAAGGAGATCTTAAAAAATTCATCAAAAATCTTTGTAGTCTCTACAGTTCTTAAAAATCACAGTACAGTATTTAAATACATTATTTACATTTAACATATAGTTAACGAGTAAAAAACCATACTTTTATGATACAAAAATTAAGTTTCAAAGTTAAATTAGGATTGAAAAAAATTCTTTAAAGTTGTTTGTTATATTTGAACTCTTCTAGAACTAAATATATATTTTTGTAAAGGGTATGTAGAACTCGGAATGCTTCTATTCTAGCCATATTATCGGAAAAGCTTCGGATTTGGGTATGCCTGGTAATTAATGTCGGAGAGTCGTGACTTTAGTCGCATACGGGTAATGTCTGTTTGAGTGTCACTAAATAAGAGTCGGGCTGCCTGGCATTTCACACTTTAAGTTGAAATAAATGGGGATACATTTAAAAACCTAATTTATTACTACATTTTCCTCTCTCGCTCCGTTCGGCTGGCAACCCGTCTGTCTGTCCTGTCTGTCCGTGTTATTGGGCCGGTCGGTCCATTGTGGCCCTGTCACAACAACTTCCATTGTTTGCCCCCATTTCACCTGTCAACTGGCCTTTGTGTCTGCTAAGCTTCACACTCGCCGGCAGGAAAACTTGGAAGATGGGCGGCAGAACTCTTGCCAAGCACTGGGACCGTCGCACTTTGGTTTCCATTGTCAACAAGCCAGCCAATTTAGTTAATTAGGCTACCGAAAGTGAATAAACAAAATCTGTAACCGAAGGCGGACGACGGGCACGTGCTAAGCTCTGTGTGAAAAAAACCGCAAAAATGCACAAAACACTTGACGAATTTTTCCGTTTTGCTTCGTAATTTGAATGCCACGCGCCTTTCCCCGCCTGCTAATTGCGTCGTCGTCGTCGTCGCCTTCGTGGATGTGGATGTTGATATGGGTTTGTAATTAACTGAGTCTATGGATTTATAGCCCGTTCCGTTTGGCACTAATGCTTTTTCTCAATTCGCGATTCTGCTGGTGGCGATGCATAATGTGTGTTAAACAAACTCAAAGACGGCATCTAAAGACCCCTGAAACATTTTTTTTTTAAATATAAAAATTTATAGGCAATAGAGATTTTCTCAAAATAATTTTAACTTTATTAGAACCAAGAAATGAAAGCTAAATATTAAGTTTATTAAATAATTTTCTTGGGTTTTTTTTAATTCCCAGATTTTCAGTCGCAATAAATATTATAATATTCAAATTAAAATAAATAAAAAGATTTGAAATTGCAAAGATTAGCTAGTGTTTTGTACACTTTAATAAGAGTATGTTCTTAGATTTTACCATTTAATTATATTAAGAGGGCCATATTATATGATAAAGACCTTGTTATTCTAGAGCAAATACAACAAATATCATAAAAAGTTTATGGCTGAATATATGAATAAGCTAAATATATTTTTATTACCTAATGGTTTTCACAGTGCGATTACAATTAAAAATATATTTTTCCATTTTATCAGGTCTAACTCGCTAGCTCACAGACTTAGTATATATTCAAAGCCCGATCCTAAGATCTTTTAAGCTAATATACCGAAAATGTAAATATCTCAGAAATTATTCTGTGCCATAAACTCGGGCAGACTCACCTGCATAAATCATCGCGATGTCGATGGCGATTGTGAGCGGAGTTTTCTGGGCGGGATTAGCCAAGCGGCCGTCGCCGAATCGCTTGGAAAAGCGGTCAAGTGCCGCTCCGCCTGGTGTTGGTTTTCCGATGCACTTGCAGGCGTTACGTTAACCGGCTCCCCAGATTGCTATATATATTCTCTGGGGGTCTCGCGACTTGTTGCCGCGGGTTGTGTTTGCTCTCGCTCTCTTTTGGCAATTAATTGGTTGTCATGCGTTGAATAATTGCACGCATTTTGCCTAAAATCTCCATACTCAGCACTTGATTTTTGTTTTTCGTATTCAGTTCTCTCAGTGTTTTGTTGATCTTTTCGATTGGGCGTTGCTAGGCCGGGTTTTTGTGAAATTAATAGTTTGTTTGCGCTAGAATTTGATTGAAATATGTTTTATTTGTTAATTGCGTAGATTGGCAACATTGCACTGGCAATTTATGGCAAAACAATTATTTGCTGTCATTGCTCAAACAAAGCAGACACAGCAAGGCGAAAGAAATTCAATTCGGATCTGCTGGCTGACATCATATTCAGAAATGTTTATTTTTGCATATGTGGCACTGTGACAGCGGGACAATTATCAAAATTGCACTTTGTCAATGCTATGTTTGCTTTGGGTGACAGAAGGGAAAATTGTTTGCTAATGAGGGAAATTACGAAACAAAACGAAACGAAAGCGAGCGATTTGATTAGCCGAAACGAGCACGGCGCTGAAGAAAACCCCATAAAATCACATAAGACACATTCACACTCGTTTCACACTCGCGTCTTCGTAATGAATGCACTCACTCGCTCCGCGCGTTGCGAATTTAAATAATATTTTTGTTTTTTGACCAGAAAGCACGTAGCCAGCTGTTGCGAGCTTTAGTTTTGGTTATCAATCATGGGTAATCGCTGGTAGAAATATTAATGGCCAATATCCCATTGCTTCGATCGTGGATTCGACAAGAACTGAAATCACAAAATGGTGGAAACAGCTGTTTTCCGCGATCACATGCACTCGGCTCTTCGGCAATTCACACACACACTAGAACACCATTACACCCACACAGCAGGGCTGTTATCTACCGTTATGTGCCGTCGGCAAGAACCGTTAGCCAGTTTTTCTCCGCTCGTGCAAATTGGCACAACCGACGCGGCAGAATTTTCAACACGAACTGAATTTCCAATCGCCAACTGTTGGCTCACAGGCCTCGGGCCGCGAACGAACGGAATGGAACAGGGGGAACGATGAGATGGATGGAACAGCGCTCAGAATAATAACAGAATTTTCCCAACAACGCGCAACAGTCGCTTTTTCGGCGGGGCCGAGGTGGAAAATCGCATGCGAGTTTTCCTTTCAGCAGGCCAAGAAAGATCTGATTAATTATAATCTCTTGATTCCCTTAATCTGCATTCGCCTGCAGCCAGTTGAAATTCCCTTTGATTTGCGACGCTTTCTGGCTTGTTAACCTTTTGGCCAGACAAATAAAAGAAGGCACGCATAATAAATTGGCAAATTCGGAGCAGGAGCGGCAGAAAGGATGTTTCTGTCCGGGCTGCAAAAAAGGACACACACTTGCCCCTTTTTTTTCCTCTTTTTAGCCTTATTCTGATTATACCATCCGTTGATTTTTCTAGCAATTTCATTTTATGACAAAGTTCCTCCGACTTCAATTTGCCCAATTTTCCATTAGAGCTGCGGAGCGTTGATTGCGTAGAGCGTTCATTTTTTACGATTTTTAGTCAAGTTTTTGGCTTACAATTTCGCCAATAGCCAATACACCCGATTGCGAACTCATTATGGTAGTTCCATAGAAATGTTTAGAAATGTATGCGGAGTGGTTGGAGGGCATTTGCCATGCAAGAGCTGTTGCGGCCATTATTCACTTGATTTCTGCCCGTTTAATCGACTCGCAGCCCAACTTTTATCTCTCACTGACCTTTGGCCCGTTTTGGTCTAGCCCAGTAATAATGATAAATGAAAAGAGAACGCCTCTGGGCCACGCCCCCTCGCCCCTTGCCTCCTTTCATGTGTGTGTGTTTGTATCGCCTCTAATTAGGATAAACAGATGTTGCCGAAAATTAATTACACATCACGAGCACATGAACAGCCTCCCAATTTCCTTTTGCCAACTCCTCATTAAGCCGGGGGCCTTCTAATCAAAATGACCGCCATCATCATGATGATATCCTTTCGGTGGTATTTAGCTTTTCATCTATTTCCAGGCGGTCCATAAATCTCGTCTGTTCAGCTGGGGGAAAAACATATTTACTTTGCAGTTAGTTTCACGAGGATTTGCATAGCTAACCAGGTGAATCCACTTGGATGCGCCGATTGTGTCCTTTTTCAGTTGTCGCGAATATCCTGTCAGTGCAGTTGAAATGCGTAAGAATTGCAATTCTGCTCTTTAAACTCCTTGTTGCCTTGAAAAGGGGACAAAACAGACCTCTGTTGTTATTTTTAGCCCTTCTATGCCCTGCACTTGGTACAGGGAATTTTTCCAGGAATTCCGTTTGGGTTTGGATCGAATTTAATTTTTTGCCCCAAATCGGATTTGAAAAATTTCCATCGTCTGGCCAGATAAAAGATACAGATACACCCGCCGCACCACCTGACGATGCCAAATCAATTTGCCGACACAATCGAACAAAGGAGTGCGGAGGAGTATTAAAGCTGAAAGGCGAAAGCTGAGTATCCCGCCGTTTGCAGACTTCCTTGGGAAGTGCCCCGAAACTAAGCTCCCGTGCCAGATTGCGCCTTCTGTCAGTCAAAGGCAAACACCTGTAATAAATATTCGTTTGTCGTCCTTCGCTCGCCTCGCTCAGTTATCCTGGATTTCTCCTGGCTGCGCTGTCACAGATACATTTTGTCTGCTTTTCCGTGTGAGCGCACAAGACAACGGAAGAGAGCCGGAAAAGAATGCCTAGCTGGCGCATTTTTATACATTTTCAGATCTCCCTCTGCCTTTTCCCCCTTCGAATTTTCATGCGAACTGGGGCCATAAAGAAAAAGCACTCGCAACGATGCCAACAGCCGGAGCGAAACACTTGATGTGGCTGGCTGGCTGGTTGGCTGGTTGGATGGCTGGCTGGCGGTGGGTTCAGTGGCCACTTTCGGGCTCCGGCACTCCACAAGCAATTCACTCAGCCATTTATGGCCGCACAAGTTGCAAGCAGCACACGCGGCCATAAATTCGCGAAACGCAGCTTCTGTTGCACTTAATTTTAGCCCGAGATACCCAAGGATGCACCAAGTGTTACATTTTGCGCCCAGCTGAGCGCTCAGCGTGTGTTATTAATTGCGTAATTTGTTTATTAATACCGGCGGTGCTCATGTGCGCCACTAGCACAAGCACCTGCTGGAGTTTAAGGACAATCCGTTCGGGGAAAAAATACCTAGCAGGAAAAGGCTTCTCCTCTGCCTTTACTCATTGCTTATTCAGGCAATCAGAAGATGTTTACCCTGCTCTCTCTCTCTCCAGCTTGGCGTGTAATCAAATTAAATCTCAACTGCATAAACTTTGCGGGGAACTGTTTGACTTACAATTAAATTGCCCGGCTCCGCCTTTGGGAGGCGGCATAAATCAATTTTTATATGCCAGCCTTTCGTCCTTCGTCCTGGGTGCTCAGTCCTTCCTGGTTGCCTTGCTGTTAATTGCACACACAGAGAATTCTAATGGCAAACACGAGCTGGGTTTTCAGCCGTCGAAGGCAAAGGCAACGGCAAAGGCAGAGATGTTATTAAATTATAATTACCAGCGCCTTATTAGCACAATTAGAGTCGGTACCAAAACCACAGCTAAGGACACGTTGTCTGACTTGTCTGGCTTCGTAGTCCCCTCCCCCTGGGCGGTTGAGTTCACTAGAGTTCGATGCCAGACAGTCAGACCGAATGTCACATGAAAACAAGACGAGTTGACATGGCATGAAACCAATCAATCAGAGATCTATTCCAAGATAATATACCAACCACATCGATGGCATCACAAATAGCCGAGCAAAATGGATTTATCGCCCCCGCATCGAAGGCAAATGGAGAAAGGCATTTTGCATACCGCACTACTTAATCAAAGTCAATGCATAAAATGAATGCATAAACAACTTGGGCATAGCTGCAGCATCGTTGCGCTTGGGGCTGTCCATATTGCGCATACGTCACGTGCGCCAGTTGCATGTGCCGGTGGCACATCGATGATTACCATACTAAGTTGGGCACCGAACACACCTCAGAGACCGACATCCTGCATTCTGTGCAACCCACATCCTGCATCCTCCAGGTGGCAACACTCACTTAACACACCCACACGTCTGGGCGCCTTCATCGCGGGACAGGATTCAATTGCAGCAGCTGCCTCCTGCAGACGCAACAGCAATCTCGAAACAACAGCAGCAATAGCAACAAGAGTTTTCGAACAAAAATGGAGCTAATGCAAAAAGTGTAGGCGGTTCGGTCGAAGCACAGGACTCATCGATACCCTGTCTAGAAATTAATTACAGACTAGTGCAAAAAAATATAGCAATTAATAGCTGGTTAGCTAGAAAGAGCCGTATATAAATTAATTTGACCATATAATATCCAAAGATCCTTAGGTTTTAATGGATTTAATAATCCTCTAGTTATTAAAAAATTAAATAGAATACTCTAAAATTTTAACACTTATTAAAAGATATTTCATTCAACATATTTCTACGATTTATTATCCCGATAACATATTGTACTCTTTCGCATATTTTTTGCTTTATAATTCAATTACGACAGCAAGAATTGAAAGATATGTTATATAATTTAATAAATATTTTAATATCTCATCCTAGGGTTCTTCCAATATCCCTTTGAATACCCCCTACCCCTGGCATACAACACGTTGAGTGCATTAGATGAATATTAAAAGCACTCACCAGCAGCAGCAGCACTTGAAACTTAAAAGTGAATGGCAGGCGGTCTGGTCCTTGTCCAGGACCTGCACTCGCACTCGCAATAACGTCGACATGGTCCGAGGATTGAGGAGGGAGTAGGGCAGCATCATGGTGCGTTGCATAATTTATTGTTATGCAATCAATCGTAGCAGCAACCCTGCTTATTCCACTCTTTTTTTCACCACTCACCCACTAACCGGGTGGCTGTGATGGACTTGCCCGAGAGGCCATAAATTAAACATATTTGTTGGCGTATAATCCGTATAATCAAATTACATTCGCACTACCTGTTTGCACGTATTCGTGGCTTTTGCGGTTAAGTATGTCGGATCCTGCCAGGACCATACAATCGTGGTCCATGCTAATTTGTGCTGCGTAATTTCCCCATTTCCATTTCCAGTCTGAGTGCGGCTCATAATCTGCAGATGTGGCCCGAAACAATGGTGCATTAAGTGGCCTGGTTGACCTGTCATCGCCAATCGGAGCCACAATCTGTCGGCCAACTGGAGACCACCTGAGTGTGCCTCTGTTTTTGATCGGCCTGTTTAAACCCTCAACGGGCATCATTTTATCGCCTGCTGTATACAGAGCTGAAATTACGTTGTTTACATTTTAAGCAAATTTGTTGCCCTGCTTGCCACCTGTTGCTGCTTCCGTCCCTTTTTTCTGTCGCTAATCAAGCCATGCGACAAACACAATTTATTAAAACGCGCACAAAAAGGACCAAGGACACCGGCATTAAGGACACAACGACCGTAAGTCATTCCCTTTTGGCCAACTTCCGGCTGCTCTAATGGCGGAAGGATACAATTAATTCACTTAAGGTCGAATTAGAAATTAGAAATGTCACCTGTTCGGGCCCAAATGTGACGAAAGGGTGGCTCTTTAAGATTTATGCCGTTCAGGGCAACTCCTCGTCGTTCATCATCCGCCATGGGGTCCCGGGTCTACGATGGCTGGAAGCAGGCAGACATATTGTATGAATAATTGCGCACAAGCTGCTCGGGCTGCATCCACTCATCGCCGAGCAAAACGGAACAAGCCAAGCAAATTAAAAGTCCTGGCAACAAAAGCGAGAAGTCAAAAT